AATGACGCCCACAGTCCTAAACTCTAGAACCTGGAAATCGTAAAGAAGATTTTGCAGATGTGATTAAACTAAGGCTCTTGAAATGGGAAAATTATCCTGGATTTATTATAAAAGTGACAGATGCTTGTGGGAAAAGTAGTTTGGAAGTTTTTAGTCCAAAAAATAAAAGTCCCTCATCCACAACTCTAATTTAGAGCAAACAGATCATTTGCTGTTATCAAAAGCATTCTTATAAGAGGGATACAGGGGGAGTCAGAGTCACAGATAAAGCCATGAAGAGGCCACGTGACTCAGAGTGATGCACGTTGAAGATGGAGGAGGGGGCCACATGCTAAAGATTACCGGTCTGGAAATGACCCTAGTGGTGGCCTCTAGAAGCTGGAAAGGACAAGGAAAAGGATTCTTCTCTAGAGCTTCCAGAAGGCACCAGACATGCTGACACCTTGCCTTTAGCCCAGTGAAAAATTTGGACATTCAGCCTCCAGAACTGTAAGAGAAGAAATACGTGTTGTTTTACACCAGCAAGTTTGTGGTAATGCATTACAGCAGCCACAGGAAACTAATACTGGTAATGAAGTCAGCTGTTAATGCTGAGAAGGCAGTAAAGAGTGAGTGAAGGGTTTCAGGCTGAGGAGTGATGCCATTACCTTGCATTTATGAAAGATAACACACGGTGAATTGTAGAATGGAGTAGAGGGGCAGGAAACTGAAGCAAAAGAGATACACAAGGAAACTATATCCATCATTTTCATGATGGCCTTGAAGAAATGGAGAGGAGGAGATACCGGCTGAAGACACATTTAGGTGGTGAAAAGGACTTTGTAATGGTTGAATGTGGAGCAGGTGGAAGAACACCAAGAAAGATTCCTCACATTACATCATGACCCATCAGTGGAGCTCACAAATCTACACCAGTGCAGTGGATACAGGGAAGAGATACACTGGCCATTGAAGTGCATGTAGAAACCCAAGTGGAACTACCAGCCACTCAAGAGCAAATAAGGTTTTGAGCCTCAGGGAAAAGGAGAAGATTCAAGATCCATGCTGAGGGAGAGGTAGAAAGGAAGCACCCAGCAACAGGAAGGAGAGAGACACATGAAGAAGAAAAAAAACCCTGGAAAATGACCAAAGTGTCAGTGATTTCTTTGGAGGAGTAAGAGCAAAACAGAATGAAAAAAATCAAAATTAAAGATGAAATGAATCTGGAAAAACAGCATTGAGGGCAACAAGGGAAGAGAAAATTTTCAAGAAGGCAGCCCTGGTCAAGAGGACAAACGATTCAGTTGAAATAGACACACTGGTTACAGAATAGACATCCATGAACCTCCAACTGAGAATCCCCTGACTTTCTTCTCCAGTGCTGTTTCTGTTGAGCAAAGCAATTGAGAGCTGTCATCTGAAGAGAGAAATGGAGTGGAGGAAGTAGACAAAAGATGTATGAACTACTCTTGTAAGACATTTGGTAGAAATACATGGAAAAGAAACAGTGGTAAGAAGGGTCATGTGTTTATATATAGATTATATTTTTAGCAGACTCAAGGTTGGAGAAGAGAGAATTCAGTGACTAATGAGAGTGTAAGAATTAAAATAGAGGAGAATAAAGAAGGAGTGAGATCTAAGAAGAAGCAGGGAAGGACAAGAGCCACCACAGGTGGAGAGGGTGGCCTGAAGGGGAGGAACCCCATGCCATTTTCTGAGGTGTGAGGATAAAGGAAGGTGAGAGTAGATATAAGTAAGTTTAGACATGGGGTCAGGGGAGGTTGGGAAATTTCATTTCTGATAGTCTTTTTTTGATCTGTAAACACAAATTAAGATATACGAATCTTAGACAATTAGAAATGGAAGTGATTTTTCACAGGTTTCATCAGACTTATTTTGAGAGAGGGTATTCTAGATGTCAGTATGTTGAACCACATAGTGGTAGTGTGGCAAATAAGTGTCTGATGAATGCAAGACTGGTTTGGGAAGATCTGGTCCTCAACATCCATCTTTAGATTGTCATCAGCCAGGCAGAACTAAAATATGTTACCTGTCTACAACAAAATCCACATGGAAGTCACCACATCAGAAGGGCTTCCAGCACCATTACTACCACCATCACCACCATCACTAGCACACAGTTTCATCAGCAATAAACAACTGCTGAATGTTTACCATGTGCTTGGCTCTGTTAGACCCTGGGAATTCAAAGTTGAATAAGAAATGAAACTTACTCTTGAGAATTTGGGAATTTTGTAGAATGAAGAGGAGACTCTTTACACAAAGGCCTAACCTGAATCCCCATGGAAAGAGGGATTCATATGAATTCATAAACTGTCAGGGATGGAGGACCACAGAGGGAATCACAGAGGAGATTCAGATAAGTAATAGACTAAAGCAAAATCCCCTGGCTGTTTCTAGCTTTCTAATCCTTAAGTCTCGTGCTCTTTCTAGTTCATTTCACCCTGAAAAACTTCTCTTTCTATTCAATCCATAAGCAAATTTAGTGTCTCTTGTGTGTCATGGGAGGTATAGCCCTCCCAGGACACTAGACACCCCTGGTGTAAAGTCCCATTCTGTGTCAAACCTCTCAGAGGTCAGAAAAGAGGAACATCTTCCTTTGTCTTATGCACTTATCATTCTTAATCTGTAACATGCCCTCATGCAACATTTTGCAATGAAAGAAAATGATCCCCCAGGGAGGAGAAAAATAGTTAAAAGTAAGAACCAGACTGGACAACAAAACAGAACAATCTGGCAACATAGAGGTAAGGCTCAGGAAAGGAAGGTCGTAGACATGGAAAACTGACAGAAATTAAAGAAGGCATACTATGTTTGAATGTTTTTAAAAAATCAATAACAAGCAGGGATTTTTTATAAATCCGATTTCCGGCCGGGCTCCGTGGCTCAGACTATAATCCTGCGCCTTTGGGAGGCTGAGGTGAGTGGATTGCCTGAGCCCATGGGTTCGAAACCCACCTGGGCAACTTGGTGAGACCTCATCTCTACAATAAATCAAAAGATTAGCCAGGTGTGGTTAGCCTGTAGTTCCGGCTGCTTGGAGGGCTGAGGCAGAAGGATCGCCGGAGCCAAGCAGGTCAAGGCTGCGGTGGCCGGAAGTGGCCACTACACTCCAGTCTGGGCGACAGAGTGAGACTCCAACTCAAAAAAAAAACAAAAAACTGATTTCAGGGAACTAAAGTTACCAGTTAGACTATGGCAGCATTCACTCCTGAGCTCCTGAGTGGTAACAGAAGCTGGCGGTCAAGATGGACAGGGCATAAAGCCAAGGCCAGGAACAAATTTCCCTCCTGAACTCAATGTTTAACCTCCAGGACCCTGCAGCACTTGGGATAGAAGCAAAGTATAAAACCAGGAGCTCCTGGTAAGGTCAGACTCTCATCTCCCAGAAATCTCAGTATCTGGCAATCCTCGAACCACTGGCAAATGGAAATAGAAAAGAGTCAGTCCTCTGGTTCAGTCCACAGGCTCTGGCATACAAATACAAGAAAGCTTTGCCAGCTGGAACTGGGAGCATCTACATTTGCTTACATTACATTGCTCTCTTGGCAAATTGGAATCAGAGCAATGTCAAGATCCTGAAGTTTGAAGAGCTACCAGAAGCCTGTGGTTGTGTTTCTGAGTTTAGAGTAATCAGAGCTTGGGGGGAATAACTTCAGACAATGTAGCCCAGACACAAATCTCTTGTTTCTTCTGAGAGAAAGTGTCCAGCCAGAAGAGAGGCTCAGAGTTCTGCTACCTCTCGAGCAAGGCAAAACAGGAATTTGTATAGAGCTCAGAGACCAAGAGTACCTCATCCACAGGGGCACATCTGCCTCCATGGTAGCCCTGCTGACAGCAGAGATCCCTTGTCTCAGAGGAACCCTTCCTTGGTCACCGAGTCTTAAGATGACCCACTTCTTGAGGTTTTATTGCACTAGTTTATCATTTGCTCTTTAGCAAGTCACATATCCACAACTTGGCCACATCAGAATGCTATGTGGATAAACTCAGAAGAAATTCCATGAATGGCAATTCTAAAGCGGTCTTGGTTGATCAGACTACAAATATACTAGCCAGGACTCCTACTACACTAGAAGGTGAATTGAGAAGGTTTAAAAAATTCCAATTTCTTATACTTACTTGGACTGAATACTAACTTGCTGTCAAGACAGCAGACACGGATTTATTTGTGAGGCTGTTATCCAGAGCTATATAAACACTTGAGCCAATGGCGATTCCCTCATAACACAAATCAATAGGAAAAATGAGGCTACACATAGGGCAGGAAGGAATGAGAAGGGGTTTACTGTGTACATAGCTGCTGTAAAGATATGCCAGGCAGTGCAGAGTGTGACTGATAGAGGCAGGAGGTAGAGGGGGAGACTGAATCATGCTCCTCTTCTCCTCCTCTGTAAGAATAGCCTCAGCCGGGCTCGGTGGCTCAGCCTGTAATCCCGCGCCTTTGGGAGGCTGAGGTGAATGGATTGCCTGAGCCCGCGGGTTCGAGACCCGCCTGGGCAGCGAGACCTCATCTCTACAATAAATAAAAGAATCAGCCAGGCGTGGTAGCGCATGCCTGTAATTCTGGCTACTTGGAAGGCTGAGGCGGAAGGATCGCCGGAGCCCAGGAGGTCGAGGCTGCGGTGGCCGGGAGCGGCCACTGCACTCCAGTCTAGGCGACTGAGTGAGACTCCAACTCAAAAAAAAAAAAAAAAAGAATAGCCTCATACTTGGCCTCCACTATGGCAGCAGAATGGAGGGTGGCTGGCAAAAACCTTTAAGGTCTCTCTCTGTGATAAATAACACCCTCCTGCATCTAAAATTCCCCCAGACACCATCATCTTGAGATTTATTTTTAGCAACCAATCCTTGAAAATGTTGAGGATGGGCACAGACCACTGGGGGAAATCTGAATTCATCTTGTCCCTATGGACTCCTTCAGTCTGATCTTATGGATTATACATGGGCAGCTGGTCCTGGTATAGGGCATGGTCATTGCCAGTGAGCACATCACTCACCTTTACTGATGTCTTCATACTCCAGCCAGAGTCGCCGCTGGACCTGCTTGTTTGGGTACCATATAGAACAGGACTCCTCGAAGCCGTAGATTGCCTCCTGGATGTAATGGTTGCCAAACTGGTCCAACAAAGTCACAAAATCTGCACGAGATGTAGCCCCATCCAGCGAGTGGAGAGCATTGTTGAGGGCTATGGAAAAGCACCGCCCAAGAGTAAGAGGAATCATAATTTGGGTACAAAGATTCCCGGGCAATTCAGCCCCAAATGTGGAAGTTCCTGTGTGGCCCAGTAGGAACTATCAGGTGATTGTTTCCATTTAGTTAAATCAGACACTTCAATTCCTAAGTGAGTATATTTTAAGCCAGTTGGCTGTGTTAGCTTTGTGAAGGTTGAGCAGAACATTACCAAACCTCTACTCCAGCTCCCCACTTAAGTCAATGAGTGTGTGTGTGTGTGTGTGTGTGTGTGTGTTTTCAAATCTCAGGTCATGACATTAAGTCAATTTAGTGAGTTAAATAATAGCATTAAAAAGAAGAATAGCATAGACTAAAATAGAACCACAAATACCAGCAGAGAACATTTTACATTGTGAGATGAAGTACCGCTTCATGAAACTTCTGTTGTGCGTACAAGCATGTGGGAGTGTGTACATGCACAAGGTCATGACATAAAATGTATTCTAACTGTGGGTAGTGACCAAAAAAGGCAACTGCAGAATACTGCCTTCAAGACACAGAGATGGGTAATGGGAAGACAATGGCAGAAGAAAGGTAAGAAATGTCACTGATGCATTGCTTCTATTTTATTCCTGCAAATCTACAGTAAAAGTACTCTAGGACAAATGGAAAAAAGAATATACCTCCTCACCCTTCTCCTCAGTCAGATCTCCTTGGGTTTGCTGTCTGTCTTTAAAAGAATTACTGTACACTCGTTGGAAAGATGGCCTGTGGTAAGGTTTCCAAATTCAGTACCTCCTGGATCAGGTCTGGATCAGCTTTATATAGTCCTCTTTCTACACACCTGTGCTCTATTCAGGTCAAGGTGGAGTCTAGCCTAGGCATGAGACCTCAAGTGCCAAGGTTCACATCACCTGTGACACCACTGTGTGACTTTGGAGGGTATGTGGTAACAGAGACATTCTACAGTAAACCCCTGATATGCCCCTATGCTGGGTGCACATTGAATATGTGACTGGAGTAGGTCTCTGCTTCCATATTTTCCAAGAATGAAGAGCAGCATAGATCTTTCTATATGTTCTGTACCTGCAGTTCCTTCTGTAAAATCCCAATTTCAAACCCATCCTGCCAATAACTCTTTCATGTTAAAAAAAAGAAAAAGTTCTGAGTACCTTTGGGTCCTAGGAAATGTTCTATAGTCTTAATGTACTATCTTTATGCACAAAACTTTACTTTTTGTGAGTTTATGCCTCACTTCTCTTTATAACCCTCAATTTGTCCTCTAACATTTACCTTTATCCTGTTGGCCCTGAGGCCCCATCTCCCTACTGCTGACCCTAAGGCCTTATGTAAGTTTAGCACTCACTGCTTCTTAGCTTACTGGCTCTTTATATAGATATAATATAGATTTAGCTGAGCACACATACACACACAAAGATATAATGTCTATTTCTCTATCTCTTTATCTCTCTCCCTCTCAATCTCTTAGTCTTTTTATCTATTTTACTCACTGACTGTTTGGGAACTTTAAACTGTTTTCTATTTTTTCTTTCTCCTTTCTTGCTCTCTTTCCCTTATTTCATTACTTAGAATCTCTAAATTATGCTCTTTGCATCTGTGATGTTTTAGTCTGTGAATATGTAAAGAGTCTGCTTTTGCATATCCTCTCCACATGCTGAGTGCAGAAAAATGGTATCTTTACTGGTTCCAGCTTCACCCTCTCCATCTCTTGTGTAATTAAGCTAGCACATGCAGTGTTATTTCTACACAGAAAAGGACCCTGTTCTGAACATCTACCCTCCAGGGTAAATCTGAATGAATGGGTCATGCATCTCATGCAGTAGCTACATTTTAGGCTGCATCTTCAACCTTGAGACCAAGGGCTCGTTCCCTTGGAAAGAAGTTCTATAATAAGCCCGAAAGAGTGGATCAGGATGGCCCATGGCAGCGCTCACCCTGGGAGACGGCCACTTGGTTGAGTTTGATGTGGTACATCACAGACCGGACCTTCCAGTGCTGCAGCACAGGGTATCCAGACACTTCGCTGAAGTTCACCATCCCTAGGGACAGAGGAGATGCAGACTAAGGTCTGAGATTGATTCACAAGTCCAAAATAAAAAAAAATGACTTTACTCAATGAAGTGAGGGGTTGTAATTGTAAGTGAATGATGAAGCATTATTTGATGAAGAGGATTTCTGGAATCATAGTAACAATTGCTATCATTTATTGAACACTTGCTCTGTGCCAGGCATTTTGCTAAGCACTTTGCATATAATTAAGCCATTTGCACCTTGTGGGATAGGTGTTATTATCTGAACTTTATAAATGAGAAAACTGAGGCTGCGAGAGGGCATTTATGTAAGGTCCCTAAGACACCGGGTTAACCTGAATGGAATTGCAGATACATCTGAGGCCAGGCTGAAGTTCTTCTTCATTTTACTATAATATCCCCACAACAAATTTATATTAAACTCTAGACTTACTGTAATACACCAGGTTTTTACTCTCTTTAATGACTGCAGTAATTGACTCAGCTCACGTACCTGATAACATTGATTTTTCTGTCTCATTTAACTGATTTGTGTTCAGTATTTAAGTTTTAATTACTCTGAGGCTGATAATGCATATTTCTTTTTTACCAGAAGGGACAGTGTCAGGATGACTAAATCATTAAGGGGCAGGGACAGCAGAATATTGAGCAACATCTATGTGCCAGGCATTGTGATAGGTACGCATGGTCCCCTTTTTACCAATGGAAAAACTGAGGTTCTGAGAAGCTAAGTTAGTTGGTCAAGGTCACTCTCAAATAACACATCCTTAGAGTCTCTTAGAGATGTTATTAATGGGCTGCTCTTTCTAGAGCACCTCGGAAAAAGAGTGTCACCTTGTTTGAATACTAGCCATTACTATAAATATAAAATGCTACAGAAACAAAATAATTAGGCCACAAGAAATTTTTTTAAAAATCACTCTGCTAAGTTTAATAAACCAATTTTAGCTTCATTTCTATTCCTAATGTTTGCTACGTGTATACTTTATAGAAATATATTTATACATATGTGCATATGTGTATGTATATGTTTGTGTATATATAAAACTACAAGGCAAATATGTAGTAAATATATGTTTGTGTGTATATATATAAAATATAGTGAGTGTATACACAGGTGTATGTACAAATATAGTGCCAGTATTACATATATAGTGATTTATCCTAACACTTTGACCCATACTTCCTTCAGGCTAAATCAAGTAATTTAATGCCTACACCGGATGAAGTGTAGGCAGGATTAACTAGCTACTTGTCAACTCTGATCAAATTAGTTAAGTGATTATTAAATTTCCATTTTTGTGTGACTCATCTGGGAATAATTATCAGTAAGACAAAAAAAAAGGGTCAGGAAGAGTAATCAGTGAATTAATTCTTTAAATTTTATCTCAGGCAATCAAAGATCAGTTACCTGAAACTGAGAGAAAGTTTTCAGTACTCTTCTTTTTTCAAATTCCTTCTTTTAGGGCTTTAAGCTGTGACGACCAACAGTCACACTACTACATACTTTGGTTTTTAACTCTTATGTTAACTTCAAAAGCATACAAATGAAACTCTAACTTTACAAGTTTGAGACTTTAATCAAATACCTTAAAGGTGCATTTCATTAGAACATAAGGTGTATATGATATGTAGAACCATTCAGTAGAATGTGCATTCTCTACTTATGCTTGCTCATTGGTTTTGCTGTTATTTCAAATAATCTATTATTTTAAAAAAGCAAATCCACAGATACAGTTTAGATATTTGTCTCCTCTATATCTCATGTTGAAATGTGATCCCTAGTGTTGGAGGTGGGACCTAGTGGGAGGTATCTGGGTCACAGAGGTGGATCCCTCATGAATGGCTTGGTGCCCTTCTCTTGAGCATGAGTGAGTTCTTGCTCTATTAGTTCACTGGAGAGTTGAGCTGGTTGTTTAAAAGCCTGACATCTCCCTCCTCGCTCTTGTTTCTGCTCTTTCCAAGTGAAGCATCTGTTCCCTTTCTGCTTTTCACCTCGATTTTAAGCTTCCTGAGGCCTAACCAGAAGCAGATGCCAGTTTCTTGCACAGGGTGTAGAACCATGAACCAAAAAGACATCTTTTCTTTATAAATTACTCTGCCTCAGATCGTCCTCTATAGAAAATGCAAACTGGACTAATATGCCCACTAAATAAAACAAATTCAAATTATTAGGAAAAACTTCCCTTTAGTTGAATTGTTTTCCAGTGAAAAAGAAATAAAGCAATCAGGAGAAATTCTCAGGCTGGCAATGTTGCTGCAGCTGGTAGTTTCAGAATGTTCATCACTTTTATACCCATAATTTTTGTTCTCACAACCCGAGTAATCTCTCTGGCTACCTGCCTGTCTCAGAAATCTTTTGGTTCCTAGATGCTTCATCTACAAAGTGAGAGATTTAGCTGAGATGATCTCTTGCTTCCTTTTCAATTCTGTGGTTCCCACCAGCTGCATGACTTTAGGCCAGGCAACTCATGTGTTTGTTTTTAATGTCTGAAAAGTGGGGAGCATTTAACATTCATTCGGTCTATTTTACAGGTAGATTGTGAGAACAAAATAAAATTGTGGACATAAAAGTGCTTTGAGAAAAAGAGAAAGAACCAGGCACACACTTGGCCTCCATCAAGTTATCATCATCATTATCCTTCTCTCTCCCATCACCTTTCACTATGTAAATGTTATAGTTCTTAATTGATGCCCTTGATATAAGTTTCTAAATTTTGGTACAGAACAACAGAGGGAAGAGAAAACAAAGGAACAAGCACAGATATTGGAGGGGAATGGTAGGAATGTACAGTGTCCCTCAAACCTGAACTCCATGACTAACCTGCTCAACAGTTCTACTGAATGCACTTATTCTTCACCATAGGCATTAGTTAAAAAGAAAGGGATATTTTAAAGTATATGTTTTCTACTTGAGTCGTATGCTATTTTCTCAGTGTGCCCTTGACATGCAGTCTGGTTTAGCTTTTTTTATTTTACTATTATTTAGGGTCACATTTCTGCTGAATGATTCCTTTTTTTCAAGCAAAATATCTCTGACCATGTTTTCTTGAGAAAGAACATTGTTTTTTCCCTACTTATGCTTGAGAAAAGAATGAACGGACCCTATGTGCAATCTTATTTATTTATTTATTTTAAAGATGTGGGGTACAATGTTCGTCATGCATGTACCCTTGTTGATGAGGTGTCCCCCACTCCCTCGGCAGATTCCCATGACTGCCAATCCTGCCCTGCCCTCCCCTGGCAGTTTCCCACTACTGCCAATCCTTTACAATCTTCTAAAAAAGAAAAGAAGAAAGAAAGACAGAAAGAATAAAAAGAAAGAGACAAAGAAAGAAAGGAAGAAGGAAAAAAAAGAAAGAAAACCAGCTTTCAATTTTTATTTTATATGAAATGTCAGGGAGCTATATATTGCCCCAAAGTTCTAAAACTGAGTCCATTCCCTATGGACAAATTTGAAAAAATTCCAAAAAGCTGAGAATTCTAAATTTTCACATAGTTAATGACCGCGGCACCCAACAGGCCTACGAATGTGGCCAGCAGTCTCCTCTTCCTCCTTAGTCAATCTCTGGACTCCCTTCTTATTTTTAACTGTAAGACTGAATATATTCATGGACAATGGCCAGACTGTACATCAATCTGCAACAACCATCTCAGGAAACTAACCCATTATCTACAGTAACCATCCAGTCTAGTATCTATAAATCAGACTTGTAGGAAGTGAGACCACTATTTCTAACAAACAGCCCAAGAAGCCAAACAATAACCCTATAACAATATGTACCAAGTAACCAGAACTTCATGAATAACTGGCAACTTCCCTAATTTTTGTTCCCACTTAGGTCCAACCAGAAAAAGTTAAAATATATTCCACTAACCAATCACATAGGATGTCTACTTCTAGTTAACCCACCTACAGCCTCCTCATCTGACAGCTTCCAGGCTGGGCATATTTGAAGACGTCCCCTTTTTTTCTATAAGGCTTTTCTACTCTTCTGCTTGCCTTTGAGTCCCTGTCAAAGCACAAGTGATGGTAGCTCTCATATGCTCTGGATTAATAGCCTTTGCCTGTTCTCATTTGGTCTTTATTTCCACACAACTTATAACACCAAAAAGGCCTATGGCGCTCAAAGTTCTTGACTGTTATTTTGATGAAGAGGGAAGTCATCAGGAAGACAAAACATGTAGATCAGTATTTTCCAGTGGGTTCTTCAAACTAATAATTCCGCAAGATGAAAATAGGTGTTATGTGTGAAAAAGGATCTCTAGTTACACAGATTTGGGAATTGCTGGCTTAAATTAAGTGAAAGGGATTTCTTTACTGCAGAGCTTCCTGGAAACTTTTCTATTGTTAAGGTATTATACGTTGCTGAGAGGAGGATACTATTTTCCAAATGTATTTGAAGATAGAACCCATTTACGAATGGAGCCCTGATTTTTCATATAAAAACAACAACCAGAAATGATTCTTGGAAATGCTGACACAGAAGATTCTGGAGATCACTTTAGCTCTAAAATCCTCTAAGCTTGTAGGTTTATGGGGATTATGACCTATAATAGTACACATGATATAAAATTAACTGTATAACTCTCAGGAAAGATATAATTAAAATGTTGCCAGAGCTATAGTTAATATCAAAGAAATTTGGTCAACCATCTCTTGAATTGATTGTCATGTTTATTCTGGGCTTTGAAACCAGCCCAATCTCTGCTTACATCTAAGGAAATACATATTCTTGGCCTAACTGGTATCATTCCTTATCCAAAATAGATTAAAAACAAAGGCTAGTCAGAAAAGTATCCAGGTCAAAAAGAACTTCCTCTATACTTTTAGGAATGTTAGACTCGAATGCAGGGCCATGAGAAATGAAAGTGTCCTATCTAGGCATCCTTCTATTACTTTCGCCTCTAATAAGCCAAATTAGAAGAAAGCCAAGGGCACAGGGAGAAAGATGTTTCTGTGTGGATGAAGACCAGGTTTGGGTCTTTTCCTTATTCCCAAAGATTTTCCTTATTCCCAAAGAGTCACGTGTTTCTCCAATATTTCTAACATCTATCCACCCACTACTCCCAAAAAGCTCTGGCAGCATCCAGAACCACTCTGAGTCTCTTCCTAGCCTGGTAGCTGAGGTAAAATCTCCCACCACAATAAGTTATAATGAGTGAGAGAGATGTCTTGTAGTTGGACTCTACCTAATTCGTATGTGCCACCTCACACCTTTACAAGGCATTTTACACCAAAAAGGGAAGCATGTCCAAGCAAAAGTGTGGAAACCAAGAAACTAGATCCCCTAATGCTAGAGATGTAGGTTTTAGGGAATATTTCCAGAGGCTACATTTTAATTTATTCAGTTGTGTGTGTGAGAGTGTGTGAGTGTGTGTGTAGTACTTCATAGGGCAAGTGATTTTGAAGAGATTTATTGTTGGTCCAGAATATATCTAATTGTTTGCCCTTTTGTTCTTTGTTTTCCTATGGGGAAAAACACAATTTAATGGTTTTCATACTATTTTCTTTCTTCTTTGGAATATTATATATTTAGCAAACTCAGATCTCACTATTGGCCATGAACTGTTCTAACCATTTTACAAACATTAATTTATGTTTTTCTCATATCAATCCTCTGAGGAAGATAGTATTATAACATTCATTTTGCAGATAGAAGAAACTAAGGCACTTGTCCACTTAACAGAGTAACTTGTCCAGATCCCACAGCCAGCGAGGGACTGAGCCCAGTGGTCAGGCTCCAGAGCCAAGACTGTTAATCATTAAGCCACATCACCTCAGACAGATCTATTTCTAATGGTGTCTAAACTTATGTTTTAACATAATTTGATAACTGGAAGAGGCCTACCCTTAGCTCAATCTGTTCTTTACAAAAGGAAGAAAAATGGTGAGAAAGTATAGACTAAGGAAGACAAAGAATGACTAAGAAGAGGGGTGATGGAAAAATAAACAGAACAAACAACGGAATTGAGCTATGTCTAGTATTTCAGAAAGTGATGCCAAGTTTCAGTTATCTGATTCTCATTAGTCCTAGGGACACCCTAAAGTTTTTTCTTTAGGAGATTCTAACTAGGCGTCTTCAGAGGCACAGAGAAGCATATTCTGAGTTTCTTGCCTCTTCTGATCAATCCATACCTTTGTTCCATGAGCCCAGAGGATGGATGCTACTGTTGTTCCAATAACACTGAGGGGCAGACATTATTATCCCCATCTGATGATTGGATCCCATGAGGCTCAGAGAGACTCTATTGTCTAATGTCACACAGCTAGAAAGTAGCAGGGATTCAACCTCAGGATCATGTGACAATGAAACTGTGTCCTTTTCTCTTTTTTCATACAGCTCCCTAAGTACTTGCTAGAAAACCCAACAGCAGGAATGATGGACATTTAGGAGAGAGTAGCAGTCTAGTGTCTCCCTCTGCCTCGGTGACCTGGTCACTTACTTTCATCCCAACAAGAACTCTAGCCACCTATTCTCTTATTTGTTCTCAAAGCATTTCTGTGAAACAAGAAAATATTGTTAGGACCATTTTGCAGGTGATTATAGGATAATATTGACAATTTTACTGACAAATAATCTTTACGAGTGTTCAGTTTATGACTGAGCTTTTATTGTGTATCAGGGTTATTGCTGGCTTAGAAACCAAAATAAGTGCGGTCCAGTCTTGGTTTCATGAAACCATGGGGATCTGCCAGTCTTTTTGCCAATTAAGTGAGGTCAGGAAGGCACACTCACCAGTCAGGAAGTCGGGGTCAGGGGTGGGCTCTGAGATCTCCTCCAGGCACTGATTCTCCAGGGGAACAGTGGCCACCACAAGACCATCTGGCAGTTGCTGGTCTAAGCCACGAGCAAAGTTGTTTTGCCTAGAAACAGGGCAGACCTTCATTTTTGAGTGTTCAGGTGAATCCACTCCATGGTAGGCAATCTATATTTCAACCCACAATGTAAAACTCTTGTGGACCAAAAAATTCCACTTACCCTGAACCCCATTCAATATACAGATCATGAATAAGAAGATGGGTTTGGAAGATAGGGTGGGAGCTAGGGGAGTTGAGAAGGAAACCAGCTGCAAAGGTCTCCATAAAGGGTAAAGAATGTTCTTCCCTTCCTCCCATCCTAGTCCCTGTTCCATGAATCCCTCTGACAAGAGCTGGACACACTCAATCTTATTTCTAGACTACAGTAAAGACTACAGCCACCACAAGATTAGTTATGACACCACACTTCTTGCCTTTAGCAAATCAATTCCCAGGCTATAAGGGGGAAATATTAGTAATGTCTCTTGCCTGTAACAGAAAAAACAACTGACTCCAAAAGCTGTCTTGAAAATGGCACTATCAGTTTGCTCATAGGAGTCTAGACCCAGGTTGCTATCAATTGCTAGTCCATATTATAATACTGACATCTTCCTCCTTATCCTCCTCCTCATTATCACCATCTCCTGGAAAGTAATTTCCCTTGGGTTCTGAGGAAGAAGTATTCAAATAATCCAAGGCAAAACAGGGACAAGTGTCAAGTGGAAAATCACCAAGAAATATTCTAAATCAATGGTTTTAAACATTTTGTTCTCAGGACTCATTTACACTCTTAAAAATAATTGAAGTTCCCAAGTGGCTTTATTATATTTATAAAATAAGACCCCAATTATACCTATGAATATTTACCATGCTAGAAATTAAAACATAAATTCTAAACATTTATTAATACATTAAAACAGTAAATCCATTTGACATAACATATTTTATGGAGAATAAAAGGAGTGCCCTTTTTTTTTTTTTACAAATTTTCAAAATATCTAACAACAAAAGATAACTAGGTTCTCACATCTGAATTCCATTTGTGGCACCAAATTGTCTGAGCTGAAGTATGAGAATAAAATCCAGCATTCCTGTAGTTTAAAAAGGTAAGACCTTGAATATGCCCTGTAAAGGGCTTCAGGTACTCTCCACATCCTTGGCTACTATTCTAGACTGATCCACACACTGACTCTCCCATTCACAGGGAAATGGAATCTGAGCGTTCTGGTATGGCTTCTATGTAAATCTTGCAGTTCTGCCCTGGCTAGGTCAAATCTCATTTAACACCTTACTGTTCACTCAGAAGAAGCACGGTTCCTAGATTCTGGAAGAAGGGACATAGACTTGGAGGAAACTGTGGGCAAAAACATAATCTACCCCTTTAGGCATATCATATTGACTTTGCTCCAAGACACAAAACTTTATCCGAGCATAAAGCTCTTCAGAGTAGACCCACCAACAGTCCTGAAGAACCAGTTCCATGCATGGTAGGTTCACCTGAATGTTCCTTTCAGCACCTGTCCAGCAGCTACTTCCTTGGACTGGTTGTTGTAACCAAAGAACATCTCCCCAAAGAGGGTCTGGTTCATGGGAAGCTCCCTGCTCTCCCCACAATCACCTCCCTCTGGACAGGTCTCCGTAATGAGCTGGCAAGAGTGTCCATCCACACCAAGTTTGTAGTCCTCGATGCACCTATCATGGTAGAAAATTCAAGATAAGAGTTTATTTTATTGATGAGCTATGCAGGAGAGTCAACTCCAAAGACTAGGAAGAAGTGCCCTAGAGAGGGTTGGTGGCCAAAGATGAGGAATATTCCAATTTGATTTTGATACCTTTATAACTCAGTTTCTTAAGCCTGTAAACTAAGGCTCCTTTTGTCATGGGATCAGATTAAATCCTTCACCTGTGTTTTGCAGAGAAGGCCTTTAGAACTTTGGAGTACTCTCACCTGTAATCATTACATGATTTCCCAAATAGACCAAGGTGAGAATCTCTGAAGTTAAGCTTGAGTTAACACATTTAATTCTAAGATATTCAAGAGACTTTCTCAAGAATCATCTATATGGTCAGACCCTGCATTTGTGTGGAGGGTAATTAGGCAGCAAAAGGAGTGACACTGTGCTAAAGAAATTAATAACTTTCTAATCTGGTCTTGTGATAAGCCAACTAAGAAATTAGAAAGATTTATCATCTCCAGACTGTGTTCCATTTGAATGTATCCAAACACAAGATCAACCCCTTTAAATTCCTCCTTCATTCAGAATAGCCTTTCTGAACTAAACAGACCCCAGGACACACAGTGTGAGTACAGGGTGCCTCATTAACCAACGATTGCCTTCTAGGCATCCTCCCCATCATGCTTGTTCATGAACTCTAAAGCAAAAGCAATACTAATGTTGGTAAATATGGGTCAGTGATCTGTAAGTCATTAATTGGAACTTATTTGTAGTTCTAGTGGGAAGACAATACATTTGCTAACTAAAGTAAGAACTCTTTCTTTCATTTTATTATTTCAATTTTTAAAAATATTTTGAGTCAGAGCCTCACTTTGTTGCTGAGGTTGGAGTGCAGTGGCATGATCACAGCTCACTGCAGCCTCAAACTCCTGGGCTTAGGTGATCCTCTCACCTCAGACTCCCCAAGTGCTGGGATTACAGGTGTGAGCCACTTTGCCTGGCCTAGAACTATTTCTTTGATAATGCTGTCATTAAAACAATTATTGATTTAATTTGGGTCTTTCTTTAAAAACAAACCTAATTTAGAATTTAAATATGCCCATAATATTAAAGTATATCATTTATTACTATTAATAGTAACTGGTATAACAAGATAAAGACCTCTGCCTACATATGGGAACAAATACCATAGTTTTAAATGGTGAGAAGTGATATTGTAGTAGCCATGGCTATTTAGGAAAAGGAGCCAGTGGATTCACCTCTCTGAGCTTCAGTTTCTAAAACTGCAAAAAGGTGGATGGGGGCGGTTCAGGGGGGAAGGTAGCTGCTTGCTTTGCTGGGTTGTTCAGAAGATTAAATGAGATACTGAATAAGAAGAATCTACCCAGCGCCTGATACATAGCTAGTGCTCCTGAAATGCTGCTGTTAGTAGTGGTAGCAGAAGTGCAAATGAGGTCCCAGCTTATGCTACTTCAACTGCTATTTTTTTTCCATTTACCACCTATATATTTGGGTGAACAGGTGTGATTTGAGCTTTTTAAGGGCACGGGATTTGTTCTTTATATAAGAACCTTAAATCAAAAACTTCTATGGCAGCTATATATAGTACCTTAAATAGCGCTACACACACACACACACACACACACACACACACACACACACAGTGTGTGTCTAATTCTTATTGAAATAGGGAAGAAACCCAGTCAGGGAGCTGCTGCACTAGTCCAGGAAACAGACGGGACTTGAGATCCACAGGATTCTACAGCACCAGCCTAAATCTGGGACAAGAGAGTCAAGTGGCTCCTTCCTTGAGTTATGAAACAGTGTTTCCGGGAAGAACTCTGAAGCCCGCTGGTCTCCTCTGGGTCTGCCCTGAAAATCTTGACAGCTTCTCTTTCCACACGGCCTCCTCAACCCCTCTCTCAGACATGTGTACCATTGTCAATTCCTCAGAGGGACAAGACCAGGTCCGGTATCTTGTTGTTTCTCTTATACCTAACACCTAACTAGGTTCTCTGAACAAAGTAGATGCTCAAATATATCTTTATTAAATAAACAGATGTCTGTACCTTTGGCTGAATTGACTGCTATTAATTGAAGTGGGTCAGTCCTAATGATAACATTACAGAGAACAATAAAATTTAGAGGAAGTTTCCACGTACGATATGAAATTTTACAAGAAACTCTATACAAAAATTGCTCAATTACAAGGAAATAAAATAAAATGAAACACAATAAAATAATATCGCAATTCCACTGAATAATCTTTTTATGATTATTCAGCAGGCCCTGGCTTTTATCAACAATCCAGCCTAGTTTTATTACTATAAACATTGATTTTCATTGCAAACTTATTAGACTGTGAGATCCTTGAGGGTAAGAACTATGTGTTATTTATCTTTGCAGCTCAGTGGCCTGTACAGTATGTGGCATCAAGTAAGTACTTTCCCTGACAGGAGGGAAGAGACAAGGGAGAGGGGCGGGAGGAAGGGGCAGAGAATAGGGGAGGGAAGGACAGACAAGCAAATTATGTGGGTGAAGAACAGGCTAAATCTTTGTTTACTTTATACATATAACATAAAAATATATTTAAATATAATTCCAGTCACTGTTGTAAATTTCAATGTTTGAAAGAACTGCAGAACTTTCTTTTTAAACATTTGCTTTATTGATACTCAGAGTTTCTAGCACATAGTGTTTTTTGTTATTCATACCTACGGCTATTTTTGCTTTTGTTTTTGTTTTTTGAGTTGGAGTCTTACTCCATCGCCCAGGCTGTAGCAGGGGCAGGCTCAAGGACACCTATCATTGATCTGCTGGGCTCTGGCGATCCTCCACCTCAGCCTTCCAAGTAGGCAAAACTACATGCGCGCTCTACCACATCCCGTTAATTTTTTTTTTTTAATTGTAGAGAGAAGTCTCACCATGCTGGTCTTGAACCTGTGGGTTCAGGCAATCCTCCTGCCTCGGCCTCCGCCTCCCAAAGTGGTGAAATAACAGGCTTGAGCCACTGTGCCCAGCCATGCACTGCAGAACTTTTAAAGACAAAGGGAAGGCCTGAATTCTAGTTCCAATCTTACCTCTTGTCCACTCCCCAGTCCTGAGTCAGTCACTTAACCTCACTGTGCATCAATTTTCTCAACTGTAAAATGGAGTAGCATACTGCCTAACTCGCTCTCTTACAGAGAACACATGAGATGAGGTATGTGAGAGAGCTGATCCACAGTCAGGGCTTTTTACCCAGAGGCAGGCACGGCTTTGCTCGAGGGGCTTGGCATTTGGGAGGCAGAATTTAGGTAAGTTTCTACATCTCCAGAGACCACTCCCACATTTTGATAATTGATTAATTTCACACAATCTTTCCCAAGTTTTCTCACATGGAACCCTTTTGTCACAAAATGCCTAATTAACATAACTCCAGAAAATACAACTTAGAAAATTCTGATTTAAGTAAGAACAATTTGTGTAAACCATGTAGTTAATATCCCTGTGCAGATAAATCTGTCAGTTTCCCCATTGACAAGGGTTGGACTAGACTTTCCCTGAAGTTCCTCTCAACCCAGACTTTAAGAGTGCTCCAACTCCAGTCCTAAAGGTTCTTTCCTCAGAGCCTAAGGGTTGGCCTAGGTTGACAATTCATGAACGTTTACTTTCCCAGGTTTAGCCCTGAAAGTCCTGCGGCCCGGGACAGAGGGTGCGAATGGCCTCAAAGGCAGCTGAACTCACCCGCAGAACATGAGGATGTTGTACAAGGCGGGGTCGTCTGGGAAGGGCGCCATCTGCTGGAGACACAGCTGCTCACAGCCTCCGTTGAAGCCATCGGAACAGTCCACCCCAATGTGGCGGTCATAGCACCCGGAGCTGTCCTTCATGGGGCTGAGTCCGGATGGGCACTGGCACGATCAGAAAGCATCCACACAGGTGGGTGAATCAGGAGACTGAGTTGTCTGGGAACCGAGTGTAACCACTGACACCGACTCTTAGTACTCATCCTGGAAACTGTTAACACTGGCACGCAATCCACGAATTTTCCACTGCACTGGGCTCCCTTTAAAAGCAAGTGACCTTTCTTGAAATCTTGCTTCTTCTTTCTGGGCACAGATCACACACATTTACATTAAAGCCGTTTCCTCCAAAACGGCTGGAGGGGAGCATTGTAGCAAGACAGAGTGAGGTGTGCTGGCCTCCCAGTTGGGCTTCTGGCTGGCAGGAGAGTGGGAGTGACAGGCCAGAATTAAAACGTATTAGCAGAGATTCTTTTGGGCTTGGGAAGGTGAGTGCTGCTGTTTGGACTTAGTATTAATAGGGCTTTTTAATGTCTAAAGCATTTTGTCAACACTGGCACCAAATGGTAGTGTTGGAAGGAATAAACTGAGCCAGGGCTTCTGGCCTGAAGGAGGAAGTGGACTTTCTCATGACCTTGGAGCAGGGTTTGACTGCTCTCCTAGTGGGCATAGCTGTATCATCACCTTCCTATGTCACAACTGCCCTTTGAAAGACATAGGGAAGAGTACCTGCTACAGGAGCATCCACAGGTGCAGAGCTTAGGGTTGGGCTGGACACTTCCTGTGTGAAATATTTAGCTTACTTACACAAACTTGCCCTCAATAAACACCCCAGGAATAACAGCAAAGAAGAAATCTGAGATGTCCAATCCTGGGCAAGACAGAGGGGCTTTAAGAACAACAGTAGCCCTTACCTGGCACCTATTATATACCAGGCAGTGGTCCCACTCACTCCCTAACACTTGCAGCACCTCTAGGAGGTAAGCAGTGTTATCAATTTCATTTTCCACATGAGGAAACTGAGGCATAAAGAGTGAGAGTATCACTTTCCTAAAGTCACACAGCTGTACATGGCGGGCCTACGCTGGAGCCTTGGTGAGTTGGCTATGGAGTCCATGACTTAGCTGCCCATCACCAGCTCCTGCCATGCTCAGTCTCACACACAGCGGCCATTGTTTACCACACACTTATGAGGAACCATGCTAAATACTTTAGGTATTTTATCTCACAATACTGTATTAGCCCTTCTGAGAGACCAGGTAACTATTAATATTGCCAACTAATTTATGAATTTCTCGCTGCACTGGGTTCTGTTGAAAAGCTGATGACTGTTTTTGGTTTTTGTTTTTGGCCATCCTGCTTCCTGAGCATTACAGCCAATCCTTTCTAAAAAGCTGGAAGGGGGTAAATAACTTGCCCGGGTCAAGCAGCAATAAAAGGGCAGAGCCGGTGTCTGTTCAGATGGAACTCCAATGCTGGGTTTCAAATGACTACACTAGACACACACCACCAACTAGGAAATGCAACCCTCCAGAATCAAAACCAAACAGAAGCAAACTTCCCAAACGCAGTGGAACACAGTGGGAAACAGTTCCCTGTCCCTGCTGCCTGGCTTGCTTTTTCTCTTAGCTGCCAAGCACTTGGCCCAGTAGCCCAGAGCTGCCGCAGGTGTGCTTCTGAAAACCCACCTCTCCTCTTTTCTGGCTTCCCAGTGGAAGATCACAGCAGGATATTCACTGTTTGCTAACACTAATTCTGCAATTTCCCAAACAAATGGCCCCCTGTGGGCCTGCCAAGCTCCCAACCTGGTTCATCCCCCACCTCACCCCCAAGAAGGCAGCTGGAGTGCTGGAAGGTGACAGTATTTAAAGAAGTTTCTGAGAGTTGCCCCGTGCTGTGCAAGCCCAGATGTTCCAGATGACAGTAAACAAGCAAACGAGGCAGCTGAGGATTGCACCTCACATTTTGTTAGCCCCTCCACCCATCAAATTTCTTGGCCACCCAGCTGTTAGGCCAGATGTGTTACCAGAAGGGAGCTGGCTTGAGCACCATGTGCTGCCCAGGCATGGGTGTGGGGATGGAAAAATGGAAAGCATGGAAGTCTGACTGGAATTCAATGGGTTTCACTGGCTTCCATGAGTTTTTTCTTTTTTTATCCTTTCTATAAAGCTCGCTAGAAGCCATGAGGCAGACAAAGTGGCCCTCCTGTTATTCCCACGTGATGTGGTTTCAACTTGAACCCGCTAACTCTCTGAGCCATCAGCCAGGACACCACATCTTCCCAACCACCTGCCTTTTTCAGAATGCTTCTTCAAGCATGATTTTTGATAAAGACTTCACCGAATGAAATACGAGCAGGCTTGTTCCAGACTCCAAAACCTGGCATACCCCCATCTTGCCTGGCCCTAATGTCTAGATGACCATTACCATTCCAAATTGAACCACCTGAAATTCATACTCTCTTAGGAGATTTGGAGAAAAGACAGAGTGAGCTGCCGTGTCCAAGTTGGGTTTTTTTTTTTTTAATCAGCAAAGCTAAAATAGTAATAACAGCTATCGGGAATTAAACAATTATTTGTGCAATACAATCTACATATATTACCTTCAGGCTCAACAGCACAGCACGTTTTCTTCCCCATTTCACAGATGAGCAAAATCAGATTCATAAAGACTAAGTAATTTGTCTAGGGTCATGGTCGTGAAAAATGGCATGATCAGATTTTGGGCCTAGATTGTCTGATTCCAAAGCTTGTGTGTGTGCCTTCCATTCTGCCATGCTGTCTTTCAAGTATGATCAAAACCCAAATTCCTTAGAATCCCTAAAGAAATAAAGTAACCATGCTAACAAGGTAAAGAAATCCTATAGACTTGTTGAGTGTATATTCTGGGGTCATTATGGATTTGTAGATTCAACCTAGTGTTCTCTCTCTCTCTCTCATTTTCTCTCTCTCTCTCTCTCTAACACACACACACCACAGACATGTGCACATACAAAACATTATTAATGTAATTATCTTAGGGCAAAGCACTATAAATTAATTGTCCAAAATGATGACCTTGAAGGCAAGACAGGATCCTCAATCACTGAAACAGGATCCTCAATCACTGAAAAAGATGCAATTATCTCTTTTGCACTTGGGCTGAAGTTCAGAATAAATTTTTTTTTTAAGATTTTCCAGAAAAAAATATGCTGAAACCAAAAATAGAGTTTTCATCTTAACCCTTGGGAACTAGAACAACCATTCTCCAAGGAGTTCATCAATGGATTTTCCCATGGTATAAATTTGTTTTAGTTTTTGCCTGAATTTTCCTCTAGCCATTATATTACCATTCTGAATTCTCTCCAAATCTGTATCTAAATACAAAGAAACTACAATTTCCAAACCACGCCCCTCTTCCTAGGAGTATTTGCAGCCAGATCCCAGTTGTAAGGAAGTAATCCTGCTTCCAGGATAAGCTAGTGTTCTCTGTTTGCAAGGGCTGAGGGCTGGATGCTTCTTCCTCCTGGTTACGGGCAATTCCTCCACTCATCCTCAAAAGAGAACTGTTTGCTCAGGAGAGAGCCCCAAGATCAAATATTAACCCCTCTTTGCATAGGTTCTCCTCAGTAGTCCCAGGGACTTGATAAACTACAGGCTAAGTTACTCCATTCATTATGGCAACAACCCTGCCCCAGCAAGAGGGTCTAATAAATGAGTTCATATTTCAGTGACCCCTAAAATACACAAGGTTAATCATCTTCCATGAGATGTTCATGGCTTCTTGACTCAGGATTGGTCTAAGGCATAATTTGCTAATGAGATTAAAATGATTTTTCCTATTCAACTCCTTTTCCTTGTCATCTTTCTCCTCTTTTTCTACCACTGATTTTTGTTGATTAATTACTTTGGAGGTCAGTCAAATCTCACCAAGACTGAGACATACACACCTCAGTTCCAGACTGTCCTGTTGGCAGGCGAATATGAGTGATGGACACAAGAGCCTATTCAGGACCCCTGGGAGAAGAGGGATATGCTCCTTCAGCGGAGCCTACCTCACCCTACCTGGGTGATTGATGAGACGTGCAACTGTAATTCCTGCTCGAAATAGGTTCTGGTCTACTAGATGGCAAGCTTATTCCTTTCACAAAGAATGATTTCCAAACTTTTTGATGGGTCTGACATGCAGACCCAAGCCACGCAGGACTTCTCTCCAGGGGAAAAGCTTGATGGAGTTAAATGTGTATGTTAGGCCGTGAGAGCTTCCTGCCCCCATTTCTCTGGAAGCCCTCAAGGCATATGCTACTGCTTACTGTCCTACAGAGAGAACGAGAGATGGTCATCTGTAATGGTCTCCACACATCCGTGCTCCAGTAGGGTGAAATGACACATTTCATGGGAAACCAGTGTGGACGGCATGTGGAGGGAAGGGCGGCAGGGTAGCTGGGTAATTCAAAGCTCATTAGAGCATAATGCTCCTGCAAGGAAGGCTGTGTGTTCAATACACAAGAAAGCTGGTAGCCGATCTCTCCTCCTTCCATGGCACAGCCTGCTCAGCTAAGGACACTCAGACATCTGACAAATCTAAGGCATTTTACCCACTTTCAGGATGAGTGTGAAGAGAAAGAAAGAGCATGAGAACATGGGCTTTTATATATCTCACACTGGAAACTGTCTTCAAAAATTCAAAAAAAATTGTATGTTAAACCTCAATAGGTAGGTTTTATGAGAATGAAGATGCCCTGGTTAGAGCTCAGAGCCAGGAGGCTGGAGTCCCACCTGCCAAGTCTGCTCTGATCCCTACGGCCAGCCTCATCGAAGTTCCCCCCAACGATGTCCATGGCATAATCTTAGAAACCTTGGAACATGTCACCTTACATGGCTAAAGGGACTTTGCAGATGTGATTAAGTTAAGAACCTTGAAATGGGGAGATTATCCTGGATTATCTGGATGGGCCCAGTGTATTCACAAGACTCCTTAAAAGGGAAAGAGGAAGGCAGAATTGGCGAGAGAGAGAGAGGGGGGGGGGGGGGGGGGGGGGGGGGGGGGGGGGGGG